TGTGTGTGTGTGTGTGTGTAAAGCAGAAGTACACACCTGGCCTCTAGCTTCTGCTGATAGTCTCTAAGCATGGCCGACACAACCTCCTGGTGTTCTGCGGCTATGGCCTCCATGTCCGCCTTCAGACAACGTAACCCAGGCAACATAGCTTCGGCGATCAGCTGTTCACTCAGGGCTGGGAGGTCAAGGGTCAAGGGGTTAACACTGGACGGGGAAATTGTTACAGACTAAGAATGAAAATTAGGAAAGTTAGGACGGCTCTTTTAACACACTTTCGCCCGAGACCCGACCAAACCGTATGACAAATAAATAGATTTAACGTGTTTTATTTCTTAAATACCGTTGGTCTCACATGCTCCAGATATTCAGAGAGCATGAAAAAGGTTCATACAGGGGCTTATAGATGCGTCAAATAATATTATGTAATAGACATATCTTGTTTGCTTCGTAACGCTCGCAATATTCGAGTGACTATTGTATAGATCTACGAGAATCTGCCTCCATTTCCTAATCTGCTGTGTTTGGGGGTCTTTTTTGTCTCTTCAATTTTCCCTATTTAGGGGATCACTGGTCTCTAATAATTGATGCCGTTTTAGTTCTCAGTGTGATATCGGTTTAAAGCGAAATCTGTTTTGTTTTAGTAAGAGTTAGTTTAGTTTTAGAAAGAGTTTTACGGCACTTGCAACACAATTAGGTCATAACAGTGCCGAAAATTAGAAGGGTCACAAGAGTGTGGGCATTATTGAACTATCGGTAGGGAGGTGTCTTAGAACATTTGGTCTCTGCAACACGCGTTTCGATGACACGGAAATAATATTTATGAACCCGAAACCTCCTTCCTTCGCGATAGACGTGTACTCGAAACGAATCAATAATCCGTACACTCGGGTTCACTACGGATCAGAAAATTGATAACAACCACAAAAAAGGACAGATCAGGACGATACACGTTTCATAAGAAAGGGAGAGCAAACCACACCAGAGCACCCTCCGACTAATGCATGTACGTACTCAAGTTTTAATGCAATTAACAGCTATAACAGAGAAAAAAAAGGTACATAAAACTCGAAATGAAAGCATAACCGTTCAATTAAATCGTATTACTTCCCTTTACTGATTATTGCCCACACTAAAATTAAACTACCTGTACGGATTTTATAGGCCGACTGTGGTGGTGCAATATTCTTTACCGTACACTCGAATGTGCTACCGCTTCACTATGGATCAGAAAATTTAACCCAAATATTTGAAGACAGTGACACCAGTCGCTACCAAATGTTATAACTCCTCATCAAAATCGTAAGATTATTCGGAGCGATCACCAAGTTATTCAAGGAATTGCATTCGAAAAAGCTTGACATGATGTGAAACTCATTATTATTATATTATTTAGTAGTGGTTTCACAGCACTCGCAACTGCATAATAAGGTCATATGAGCGCCATGTGAAACTCAAAATCTTTGACGTCAAATATCTGAAAACTAGGTCATGTGCAGTTAGAATTTCGTAATGCTGAGGTTGCGTAGTGTTTACCCTTCGCCCTTCGCGTAGACGTAATTCAGTGGCTTGTGATGCACACACTTAGCAGTTAAGTTTTTTCCCGGGTTAACAGGGGGGGGGGGGGTTGCTTCATTTATTTATTTTTAATTTTTAAAAATTAAATTAAATACCAAGAGCGGGGGCCAAGAGAAGTGTATGGGCAAGTAGTACAAGTCTATCGCGAAGATTTAGAGGGAGGTTTAGTGTTCATAATTATTATTTCTGTGTCATCGAAACGCATGTTGGAGAGACCAAGTAAATGTTCTAAGACACCTCTCTACCAATGGTTCAATAAAGCACGGGTTCAAATGCTATGACAATGGAAAGTCATCGAAGAATGAAATTTCAGAGAGAGAGAGAGA